CTGCTGTTAGGGACCTCTCTAAATTACTGAAGAGCAATGGTGTCTCTCTGGATACTAAGGTGTGTTTGATACAGGCCATGGTCTTTGCAATCACCAGCCTAGCCTGTAAGAGGCACTCTCGTTAACCTTCCTTCAAGATAATTTCTTTTTTTTTATTTTTGACAATTGATGGTATTTTAAACATTCTTTGCCAACACTACATTTCTAATAATAAATTGTTCTTTGGTTTTCCTTATTCATTGTCCAAATTTCTTGTACATGCAAAGCAATGGAAAAATACTATGACTTGGCCAGGTTCACATAACAACTTGGCTCTTTAATACTTTCAAGAGATACTTAACAGAAGATTTGTCCAAAACAAAACCCACAGTCATGGGTATTCATTGTGGAAAAAGAAATCATTTACAACTTTGAAAGGGCAACTTAGTAGAGGGACAATTTTGAAATTTAAACATAAGAGGTTATAAAGGCAGAAGTCTGAAATATTGGCATAGAAATATTGCTGTACTGACAGCAAATTTTCTCAATGGACTTCATCTTTTCATTTCTTGAGAGCTAGTACTAAGGGTAGGGATAAGGGATCCAAGTAAGATGAAATCATGGACAATATCAATGTTTTCTCTATCATTATGTTGACTATTGATCAGGTGGTAAGGATTTTTGTTTTCTTGATGTTGAGACATAATCTATATTGAAGGCTGTTTCTCTTGATCTTCTGCTGTAAACACTTCAAGTCTTCTTTGCTTTCAGCAAGAAAAATTGTGTCATCTACATGTCACAGATTGTTGTTGAGTCTACCTCCAATCTTGATACCACATTCTTCTTAATAAAATTTTACTTCTTAAATTGTTTGTTCAGCAGTCATACTGAATAGCTATGGGAAAAAGTTACAGCCCTCATGCATACTTTTATTAATTTTAGATTATATGGTGCTCCTTTGCTTTGTTTGAATAACTATCTTTTGGTCTCAGTCTAAGTTTCACAGAAGCACAACTACGTGTTCTAGGATTCCCATTTTCCTCAGTGCTAGTGATAATTTGTTATCTACATCCTTCTGGGATTCTCTGTTTTCTTTAAATCCACCTGATATTAGTAATGATACCTCTGTTGCCATGCCCTTTTCTAAATCCAGCTTGAATATTAGAAATCCTCTATTGATATACTGTTCTAGCCATATTGTAATACATTTTAGTAAGATTTTACTTACATGTAGTATTAATGATATCTTGTGATAATTTTTGTATTAACTGTTTTAGGAATGGGAATAAATATGAACCTCTTTTAGTCAATTGAGTAGATTTATTGACACAGTCTAGTGAGCATATTCAGAGTTGCATTTGTCTTATGGAATGTATCAATTTGTATGCCATCAATTACTGGGGGCATATTTTTCGCTAATGCCTTTTTGTAGTTTGAACTTATTCCTTTATTACCATTATTAATACCATTGGTTCTTGATGACGTGCTGCTTCCTGAAAGGATTCCATGTTAAAAAAAATTATACTATGGCTGTGTATGTTCCTTTTATCTTCTTTTCCTGCTTCCTGATCGTTCAGGATTTTTTGCCTGTGACATCCTTAAATCTTACAACTCAAGGGTTGGGTTTGTTGTTTGAGTTCTTCTTTCCTAATTCCATCTCTTGGCAAATTTTACTATAAAAATACTTTGTCTTCTTAGATGGCTTTAAAAAAAATCTTCTCTTTAAATCTTTTATGTTTGTTGTTGTTGTTATGTGCTGTCGAGTCGCCTGCGACTCATAGCGACCCTATGTACAACAGCCCTAAACTCCGCTC